TAACAGGATGCAGAAGCACACATCCGTTTCACTCTGTTCTCCACTATGATTTCTAACTCCATTAAGGAATTCCTGTTAGCCCCAATTTTCACTTCATATAGTTTTCTCCATGTCACCCTCAGGTGTCCAACTCGACTTCGCCTCGACGGTCTGGAGTGTGAATTCGAATGTCTGTTCAGGGTGTGTCCGACTCATCTCCTTTTTCGCCTGCATATTACACACATGACATCATCCTCTGTAGTGAATACACAACAAAATGTAGGGCCTTCTAAACACCTTGAGTAAGAGTCCGAATGTTTAAAATGCGATTCGCCCGTCACACTTAAGGTTATATTGTAGGGTCCCATTTTACGGATAAGAGATGAACGAGCTGACCTATTCAGGAAATTGTGCCAGTGCTGACAGGTTGGTTGTTGACTTGATCTCCAATATGAGAAAGAAAGTTACACTCAGCAAGTTGTGTTATCTTCACTAGCATAATATCCAGTTATAGGTCTGAGGACTTAGTTCCATCGCAGTAGTTTACTTTGTTCTACAATACGTCTAGATGACAGTACAATTCAAAATGGAAGATACCAGGAAACTAACCATGCTTAGTCTTAAGTATATGCGTCCGATTTCTTATGTCCTGTGATTCAATGAAGCGCCTAGCGTTAATTAAGGATGTGAGGTCAATTAGGGGGATTGAGAAGTTCTGTTAATTGAGGTGGCTAGGGAATGTGACACGCACATAAAGCCACTGCCATTATCAACAAACTATGTTACCTAAAATAAGACAAGCCAGGAAAGGTGTTAATTGTGGTCGAATCAAAGCATACAACCATTCCATGAAGTCGATTTAAATCACATAAACTGGTGTAGATTGCATGCCTCGGGTCTCCGGGATGCTAGGAATTCATGTTAGGAGGTAGTAGGCAACATGACTCATAACAAAGCACAATGGTATAGTGACATTCCAAATATCCTCACTAATTTTCATCTGATTGTCCTTCCTTCCGTCTATCTTGGTTTTGTTACATTCCTCTTGTCTGCCCCTGTACCTTTATGAAATGTGATGCATAGTCTCATGTTGATTATTCGGTCTGCATATAATACGATGACTGCATAACAAGCCAGTCTCACATCTCTAATAAAGTAGGTGTGCCTAACTGATATCTAGTTTCTGGATTGCACTAGATTAGCAAAAGTAGGAATAGTATTTTCTGGTATGGAATCAGGAACAAGGATGTGCAAAAAGCGAGCAGTTCTGATATGTATCCATATATATATATTATGTGTGTGTGTACGTTGGTCTCTCTTTCTGTTTGCTCGCTTAGTCTGTGACCATTTCACTGGTATGAACTTGTCTCCTTTATCAATGTATATTCTCCTTATATTATATTATACATAATATGAGTGTTTGTTGACAGTCCGTTGCTTGGTGACATATATCCATATATGGTTGTTCACATGTCTGCTATATTCGCTATGTATATTTGGATCGACACTCCATTATAATTAGCCATTCATGTTAAGACTGTCTAATGATTTTTCCCACGCTTTGTCTGGAACATTTATATATATTCGCATTCACAATTTGTGTGAACTACTTTATTTTACTTACTTACCACTTTGGTGTGAGACCATTTATTTTCGTCTCCTTGTGTTTGGACAATAGAAGTATCATCGCAAACCTAGTGGTCTTCTGATTTCCGCCTTCTCGCGTCAGGACTATTAGTTTCTCGACCAGTCCATAACAATAACTTAGCGACGAGTACATAACAATTTGGCGACGGGGAAACTAGAACATAACAATTTAGCGACGAGTACATAACAATTTGGCGACGGGGAAAACTAGTACATAACAAGTTCATTTCTCTTCATTCCTACGTTAAACATATTCTACTTCAATTCAAAGGAAGTAAAAGCTTGTTGTATTAATTTACAAGTAGAAATTCACAGGAATAGGTACAATTTATCCCTAAAATATGTAGCGTAATTTATCATCACGTTCAACTGACGTGACAAAACGATCTCTCAAACCTTACCTAAGCACTTTATATTGCTCATGGTATAACGAGGACTTAGTTATCAAACACTAATAACATTCCTCATCTACCCTCAGATAAGACAACACTCTGGATTAATTCGGTAACGTAGCTAAAGCCAGTACGTGACTTGAATAGGACCTAATTTTTGTGCCATATGCCAACCTTAGTTTCCATTCAGTACCCTATCCCTTCAGTTATACAAGTAGAAGAGGTGGTTATAACCATTTAAATTATGGATTCCGATCTAGGGTCATCTGTTGAATAACTTAGGTTCGTACTCTGAATAAAACTAAAGATCCAGAACATGGATTTGCACAAAAGTACTTCGTTCAAATTAAAAAAGCAAACGACATTAATCAGAAGCAATGCAACCGTAAAAGTGATCATATATACACTCATAAATTCCATTTTTGTGATAGCCTTATCAGAAGAAAGCTTTCATCACAAAAATATGATTTATTTGCGCAGTACATTTTGAACAATCTAACTACCTGTTTACTTGTCAAATCAGTTTATATATGAAAATCGAAAGGCCAGTTAAAATAAACAACATGACTGAGGAGTAGTTAAGAATAGTAGAAGTGATAATAATAATAATTATTATTGTATCCTTTAGTTCCTAGAGGAACATAGGGCTTCAGCTGCGCACCTCCATTGCCTTCTGTTTTCTGACGACTTTTTCACCCCGCTCCAGGTCTGTCCACATGCTTCCATCTCCTCCTCGCATGACCTCCTCCAATTCTTCCTTGTACTGACTACCAACTCGCCGCTTCCGTTTCGAGTTCCACTCGAACGATGGCTTGTCTAGTGATGTCACTTGATGGTTTCCTCAGAGTATGGCCAATCCATCTCCATTTCTTCCTGCCTATTTGTTTCACAATCGGTTCCTGATTGGTTCGCTCATTGCCAGAGATCCCTGTTGCTGATCTTTTCTGGCCAGCCATCTGATCTTGAGTAGTATTGAGCGAAGACAGCTGTTAATGAAGGTCTGAAGTTTGTTTGAGATGCTCTTTATGACTCGCCAAGTCTCTGATCCGTATAGTAGCACTGACTTCACATTGGAGTTGAAAATCCGGATCTTATTTTCATTGTCATGCTGAGTGCTGTTGACCTCCACACATACTTAAGAGTAATGAAAGCTTGTCTTGCTTTTCCGATTCTGGCTTTGATATCCTCGTCAGTTCCGTCGGCCTGTAGTTGAAACGATGCTTCCCAGGTAGGTAGTTAGGTAAAGGAGGTTGTTTCTTTCGGCTTCCTCCCATTTATGCTGTATTGTTGTCTGTTGTCGTTGTTGCTGTTGATGTTGGCTAGGAATCTTCATCACCTCTGTTTTATCTATGTTCACTTAAAGTCCTATCTTTGATGCTTCTTCTGCCAACTTGTTTCTTTTCACTTGCATATCTTCCAGTTTGTGGGAAATCAGACATATATCATCGGCGAAATCCAGATCCTCCAAGTCTGTTGTGCAGGTCCATTTTTTGCCTGTTTCCTCATTGCTCACTGTCTGTCACATTATCCAATCTACTGAATTAGGATAGTAGATAGCCTTGTCTCACTCCCGTCCTCACTTCGAAGGCTTCCGTAAGTTTCCCGTTGTGGACTACTTGGCATGCAGCATTGTCGTATATTTGTTCGATGAGATGTATAATTGTCGATTGCACCCCGTAGTAGCGAAGTAGTTGCCAAACCACCTCTCGATCGACACTGTCGAAGGCCTTTTCAAAGTCGATGAATTTGAGTGAGATGAGAGGTGACTGCTATTCCAAGCTTTGTTCAATGATGATCCGTAGTTTGGCGATATGATCAATACATGACTTGTTTCCCCTGAATCCAGCTTGTTACGGTCGAAGTTTTTCAACCAGGTTGGCGTGTTTGATTCTCTCCAGGATGATGCGGCTTAGCATTTTGCTTGGGGTGGACAGGAGAATAATTCCGCGCCAGTTTTTGCATTGACTTAAGTCTCCTTTCTTTGGTAGTTTGAATAAGTATCTTTTCTTCCAATCCTTGGGTACTTTGCCCTCTTTCAACACCTTCTTCAGCAATGGTGTCATCAATTCCGCTGTTGTCTCTGGGTCCATTTTCAATGCTTCTGCTGGGATTCCATCTGAACCTACTGCTTTTCCGGCTTTTAGCATCTTGATTGCATTCAGGACTTCTGATTTCGTCGAGGGGTCGATGTTCACTGGTAGTTCTGCTTCCGTTGTTGGTATTGTTGGGCGCGTTGTAGGTGGAGGTCGATTTAAAAGTCTTTTGAAGTGTTCAGCCCAGTGTTTTCTTTGCTCCAGCTCTTTGGTGATTGACTTTCCATTGTCATCCTTTACTGGCTTAATCTGTGTCGAACTTTTGCCCGAAAGGTGCCTAGTTGTTTGGTAGAGTGTGGCGAGGTCTCCTTTGCTTGCACTGCAGCTTGTTCTGATTTACTTTCCATGGCTTCATAATGTTTTCTTTTGTCTTCCCTGGCACTCTTCTTCACTCTTTTGTTCAGTGTATTGTAGTTTGCATTCAGCTCCTGTTTTTGTTGCTCGTCAGTGCACTGGATAATCTTTTCTTTCACCGTCCTTCTCTCTTCTATTAGTTTCCAAGTGTCCGTAGTGAGCCACTGTTTGTCGTGTCTCTTCTTTCTGCCTAGAACTTCCATGCAGGTTTGACTCCACACCGTTTTCAAGTTGTCCCAGTGCTTTTCGACGCTGACCTTTTCGCTGGTGTTGATTTGTGTCTCGGCTTTGTCCCTTATGTTTGCAATGAAGATGTCCTTTGTAGCGTGATCCTTCATTTTCTGAGTGTTGAACTTGGCTTGTGGTCTATCTGCAGCTCCTGATTCCCTGAAAGCTTTTAATTTGATTTGGATTGTCCCTTGTACGAGATAGTGGTCTGAGCCAACGTCTGCTCCTCTTCTTGCTTTTGTGTCCAGTAGGCTGCGCCTCCACTTCCTTGAGCAGCATTGAGATGAAGTCATTTTGGTTTGCCCGTCTGGTGACACCCATGTAGCCTTGTGGATATCTTTGTGTTTGTATACACTGCCACCAATCACTAGTTCGTTGAAGGCTCAGAAGTCGGCGAAGAGTTCTCCATTTTCATTCATTTCTCCAAGAGCTCCTCTACCAATGATGAGTTCTCTTCCAGTGTTGTCTGGTCCCAGTTTGGCGTTCGTGTCTCCCATTAGTATTTTAATGTCACTAGCTGGAGTATTGTCCATTGTTGCCTGCAGTTCTCTGTAGAATTCTTCTTTCTTTTCGAGGTCTGCGTTGTTTGTGGGTGCATAACATTGTATAATTGACACTTTCCTTCCTTTGGATTTGAATTTGGCGGTCATTAACCTGGGCGAGTTTGCTTCCCATTGCATCAAGGCCTTCGTTGCCGTTGGTGAAATCATGATAGCCACACCCTCGGTGTGCGTGTGGTTATCTTCTTGGTGACCGGAGTAGATCACTGACTCACCCGTTGACAATTTGGTGAGTCCATTTCCGTTCCATCTGCTTTCACATATCCCCAGTACAACATGCAATGCAGTTAAGCACAGTTAACTAAAATGGTACCAAAACCATAAACTCACTGACCTGGGCCAACTTGAACATGTAAATCCAACAATATATACAATTACAGATATGAGTTAGTGTTAAGAGGTCACAAAATGTCAAACAGTTTGTTATAGGTATTAGTTGTCAATGATATTATATCCACAGGTTTACTGTTCGAAAGTAAACGGCTTGCAATAATTTCCAGAACTTCGGGGTGAGAAACGACAAAGAAATGAGAGTTTTAAGTATCTAAGCAAAATGTAGCGCACTAGTCTCTCCCTATACCCTGTGACATTAGATTTTAAAACTGTCATCTTATCCCATTCCATCCTATTGTATGGTTGTGTGTAACTGCATGTGGTAACTGCTATAGCTGAACTATTCTCTAGATTTCTTGTTATCTTATTCGGGTCAACCAATCTAGATTTTGCTAGGTTTATATGTTCAGCTAGTCTGACCGCCTCTATTCTGCTAATTTGACCTATGTATTCGACGTGATAATCATCGGAGGCAGGGTATTAGATAAACTGAATTGTTTTGTTTTAAAGGCTCCACAGGATTGATCCGACAAGGCTTGTTTCTAATTGAGTTTATGGTTGGTTTGAATGCCAGCCACTTTTATTCCTGCCTTGTTAAGAATTCTGCGTAAGCCTTCAGAGGTTCCTTCTTTGTATGGATTTACTGTTGGTGATTTAGATTCCTTATTGTTGGTGTCGTTATTATATTATTATTATTATTATCTCTACTACTGTTATCATTATTATTATTGTTATTATTATTATCACTATCGCTACTATCATTATTTATTTGATTTTTCTTACATATTTTCTGACTAATTTATCCGGATAATTATTAAGTTTCAAGGCTTCTTTTATGTGTATTATTTCTTACAGATCATTTCTTGGATAAGGAGATAATACAGGCATTGCTATGGGATGGGCGCGATGTCCTCCAACTGAAATGGACTACTTTGCCAACTACAATAAGGAGTTAGGGAGCCAAATCTTCAGAACAATTAAGTGGTCTAAAATCAGTTGAGAAATCACAGTCAATCGAATAATATTTGACTAAATTTCTTCCATGTAATCAGTCCACTGAAATTGTGAGTGCTCGTGTCCAAGGTTGCGTACTGATATAGCTGGTATCTATTTTTTGGAGACTTACCAATCGCCTAGTGACGCGATTGTCCCACTTACAAGTAACTTTCCTATCCATGCTTTCATTAACAGTTCCACCTTACCTTCTTATTTAGTCATTCATTTGTGCCTAATTTATCAGTCAGTCCTTTAGCCTCTAGTTATTCCTCTATTTTTTTCATTTTTCCAAATTTGGTATCTGCTCACTCGTTCCATTCTTCATTTTTACCTGTTGCTACTGCTCACCTTATACCCCTTTTCTCTTCCTCAATCAAGTGGAAAGACTATCTAGTGAACCAGGGCCGTCTGATTAAAATATCCTCAAGGACCAAAAACCTCTCACTTAGGGTGTTTCACAACCACCCGAGACCTCACTAAACGCAAGGCTTACTAGGGGTACCAAAAGACAAGCGCTTACAGTTAGTACTCGGAAATTCATCAGCTATTTCATGTCAGAGATACCAGTTAGTTTGCTCACTGTCATGGCTGTCAGTACATATATGCTGATCATTGGCAGATCGTAAGCTCAATAAACACTGGCGATAACTTCTTGTATGTATAGATTGACTGAAGGAAATAGAAAGATCTCCTCACCTAGGCATCAGATTTATCACTAAAGATGGAACAAGCAGTTACCTGTACGCTGGAAACTCCTGAAAACAGATGTCCTAGTGATTTTATGGTTCTGCATTGAACACCTTATTGTGTCAAGTAACACTTAATTTGGTGACAGATTTTCTTAGAGAAAATTATTCGTCTCCCATTCTTATCTCTGAATTGAGATACCAACATTGAGTGTGACCATTTTTTACTGTTTCGGCGAGAATTTGACTGAAAATTGGTTGTCAAAGTACACCTCACTCACTGTAAGTTATAAAACCTCATTATTATATCTGATATATTTGACTAAGAGTATTGCAACGCAAGCAAACAACCAGCCAGATGGGCTTCAGTAATCAATGCCCGTGTGCGCTAATTCTGAGAAAGCGGGACCAACTCAGAGATTTAACTGGAGATTTAACGCCTTTTCTCTTTAATTGATGATACCTCCCATATTCTTCAAACTGTCCATAACCCAATACCAAAATTACCATAATCATTCTGATTTATGATTGACGATAGAAGGCTTTTCTAGTAGATATCTGTGACTGCTTAATCTCTTCTTGAACGCGTCAACTGAGGGCACAGATACCACCTATTCTAGTACTCGGTTTCTAGATTTTATGAATCGATGAAAGAAATGGTACCCACAGGAATATAGTTCCTCCTCGTTTCCTGTACCCTGCTCCTATTTCTCTTGGAATGCACATATTGCGTGAGGAGGAAAAGAAAAGACAGATCGGGTTCACAGTCATTTTTCAGATATACTGACACTTTAGTGCTACCTCTTGTCTACCTATGGTATGATAGAGAGAAGCGATTCGAACTGTTGTGTTTTTCTAGTATGATAAAATGGTCAAACCAAAATTTGTACGCCTGGAATTCTTTTGGTGCCCTTCTGTTATCTGTGAGGCTGTCTTGAGACAAGGACTGGCTACCTGGAGGCAGTTTCTAGTTTCGATTTCACCAGAAATTCATATGAATTTTTGAACACTTGGCAGGTGATTCTAGTTAAGTTACTGTGTTTCCTTATAAGGATCTAAAACTTCTAACTACCACTGCCCAACAATCAGCAGAAGTTTTATAGTCATGGCTTGACATAAAGCACGTTAAGCCAAGTGTGTGTGTGTGTGTGTCAACTGTTGGCAGTTGTATTCCCTCCATACAAAAATTATATACTACTGATTGGTTGATATAAGTAGTTGTACAACATTCACATCAACCAGTACAGTTTGTTAGACTAATGAATGAATCACCATACAATCAGATGAATATTTCATTGAAGTACTTGTACTCTTCGATTTAATATAGTAACCATAAACATCAGATGAGATCAAAGTCCATTTCAGTGTAAGCATAAAATCTACAGAGATTGAGGTAACAAAGATATTGACAAGAACAGAGAAATCATGATTTTTAATTTTATGTTGTTCTTGATTGTATTGCTGATCAATAACTCATTTTATACAACAGCGATAGTCCCGAAGCCGTCAAGTTACATAAAACCTTCGACAGTCTGTTATTTAAATCGTCCACTTGACATTAAAAATAACTATTCCTCATGCGATATATTGTCAGAAGCTGTGACGAGATTTGAAAAGCGTCTGGAATTAAAACATCTGCCAATTTCTGAAAAAGTTGTAGTCACATGCAATATAAACACCTTGAATATCAAAATTGGAAGTGGATGTGACGAAGGGCTAGGTCAGCTATGGCCCAATGCATCAATTGATGAATCATGTGAGTTGTACCAAAACGACTAATTCAATCACCAATTTGCAGATCAAGTGTGGATAGAAGAATCTCAAATTAGCATAGAGTCCTTCGAGGTTTGGGGTGCGTTACACGCCCTCGAGACCATACTTCAATTGGTGTACCAGGGTGAATATTCAGGGGTGAGTTTCATCTTTACTTATGACTTGATTTCATTAATTTATTTCATCATATAGAATGTTATAATTACAGGATCTTTGATGGACGAACCACAATTCGGACACCGTGGAATGTTGATAGATACTGCAAGGTACTTCTTGCCACTTAATGTCCTGGAGAAATTATTAGTAAGAATTGCAATAGTCAGTATGATGGTTTCTTGTACCAGGATAGCATGGCCATGGTGAAGATGAATGTGTTTCATTGGCACATTACAGATGATCAATCATTTCCCTTTGTCTCGACTTCTGTCCAGACTCTGTCAGATAAGGTCAGTAACATGAAATCAGGTCATTTATTGATCAAAATATTTGTTTAAACTACAACAGGGTGCATATCATCAGCTGAAGTGCATATATAGTGACGGAGATGTGAAAAATCTGTTGGACTATGCCTGTCGACGTGGAATTCGTGTCATTCCAGAGTTTGATACTCCAGGTAGATAATTTTAAATATATATATTTAATATGATCTAATTATCCATCATGTGAGTTCAAGTGAAAATATTTGAATGAGTATGAACATGCTCTTGGAATAATCCTGAAAGTAAACTGTCTTTCAATCAATTCAACATAGTCATGATGAATGTAGAGCAGTTTATACATGATTTTGTGTTTGAAGGTATGTTGAAGCAAGGAGATGATGAGAGGCGTTTACCTCCTCTGAGTTACGTATCAGTTTTGATTTTGCTAGAAATTATAAACCCAAGGCGGTTGTGAAAAATCCACAGCTTGTGATTCTGTTTAGTCGTCTAATATACTCCAGTCAATATGGAGAATTATCCGACCAGTGAACAACGTGGATATCATTGGTCCAGTGTTTGCATTCAACGTCTTGCAGTTAATCTTTGAATTGACCAACGTAATTAATGTGAAATACATGTGTTATGTGAGTTGAACAGTGTATAACTTCAGACATCAGAATACGAATCAATCTCAGATGGTGAATCCATTCATCATCGTGTTTTGTATCTCAACGACATTATTTGTCGAAATATTGTAAGGCTGACTTCCATTGACTGTTACAATCATCTTTTGTAGCGCATACATTATCATGGGGGAAAGGATATCCAGACTTACCAACCAAATGTTACAACGGCGCTCAACCAAATGGAAAGTTGGGTCCATTGAATCCAGTCAATCCATCGTTGTATGGGTTTCTGAAGAAATTCTTTGAAGAAATAGTCCGCAGATTTCATGACAATTATATTCATCTTGGCGGGAATGAGGTTGACTATGAGTGTTGGTGAGTTCTGTTGACTTTATGCAAGAGTAAATAAATCTTATTCTCACATGACCTACCTCTCTGAGACGAAATTAACTTCGTCAAATATGCAGATGATCTGACTGTTTCGCTTCCCATTAAGTCTCAGTCAGACTGCTTCAAATTAATTAGCTTCCTGTCTGACATCAATCGGTGGTCTAAACTAAATGCCCTCATGCGGAATCCCTCAAAATGCCAGACTATTGACTTCTCCTTTAGGCACAAACGAGGTCTACGAACACTAGTAAGCACTCATGAAGCCTGTAGTATTGAGGGGACTAAAATTGAAACTAAGTCTAATGCAAAATACCTCGGATTAGTCCTATCTTCCGACCTTACATGGTCATCCCATATCCAAATGATTTCCAAGAAAGTGTTTCGTCTAACCTACTACATTAAGAAAGTCAGACTAACTGGAGTCACTCAACCTCTGCTTTCACAATTTGTCAACTCTCGTATCCTACCTATTCTACTTTACTGCTCACCATTAGTCTTTCCTGGGTTACTGAAGAAGGACTATACCATCCTGAGAAGGATGTTGAAGGTAGTTAGTAGGTGTAGTGGTGTAAAACTCAGTCAGCTCGTCACTACATTAAAAAAAAAGCATCTGAATACATGCGAAAAATGGTCTAAAACCATACTCTCCGACCTTCAACACCACATCTATTCCCAACTCTCTCCTTTCATCTCGTCATGTAGAACCAGAAATCTGTATAAAATAATATATGCTCGTACAACCAAGCATAGGAACCCAACGATACCATATTTGGCTAGCCCGTGTTCTAAGTGACAGAGACAATGTTAAGCGCGAAGCCTATGACCTGCTTTGTTGTTAATAAAATAATTTTGGCCCTCTTATTTCTCCCATATTCTCTCCTATTTGTATTCTATGGTGAACACCCTTCTTAAACATACTTAGCTACCTAAAATTATTATCATTGGCTTACTTTTTTATTCAGTATTCTATTCCTCCTCTTGTTTATCTACTGGTCCCGACTATATTAGCACTATGAGTATTACAAAATTATCCTGCCAATAACCTTCATGTGATATTAGTTTTTGTGATTGTTTTTTTGTTCGGCAATATCAAAACTGACAATCTTGTTTGTGAACGCCGTTATCACCGTCCTAAAACTTTGTATTATGCATGATTACTCACACTACCACAACAAACACTGCATTAGTGCTGACTATAAAAAAGCCTGAAATGTTTATTTTATGATTGTTTAGTGCAGTTTAATCAAATTAACTGATGATGCGATAAACATTCTTAATATGATTTCTTAACTTCTCGTAGGATTATAGCTGTTGCTGTTCACTACGCATACACATATCATAGCTTCAATTAGCCAGTACTGAGATATTATTTAGTATGTTGTTTATTTTCCATTCTACTTCTTGGTATTTTTTCTCATTTTTTTGCTATTTTGTGTTTTTGTTGTTGTTTTTTATATTTATTTTTTGAAATACTCTTTTCAAATATTTGAAAAATAATTAGATGCAGTATTGTAGATAAGTGTGGAAAATTCCACACTGTACCACTATTACTGTTTCTGGAGTAGAGCAAATTATTATTATTACTAATAGATTGTTTTAATGAGACACCGCATTTGGGTTGCCGGTTTGTAGATTGATTAGTAATATGGAGAAAACACACCACTTATAGTGTTGTCATGACGTCATTTTGAAGTTTGTGCTGAAGATGTCTGATGAATTGCATCAAAATTGTGTGTACAGGAAACAGTGTACAACAACCTTCGACAGTTTCTTAACCTGAGTGACTGACTTACCAGATTATAATTTTGTATTAAAGTGTCCATTTATCTGATACTACCAGTGGATTGCAAGACATTTATTGCAATCGAACATGGTGGCCACAAATTGCCAGTGAAATATAATCTCACATTATTCCTCTTTTGATTGGTTAATATGAACGAATGCAGACAACTTTCCATAAGGCACGACTATTTCTTCTTCTTATTCTTCAGTAGAACACTGAGTATTACAGCACCCATCTATCTCATTCTCTTCCTTCCATTGAGTGGAATAGAAAATCCTCATCAACAATCTCTGATCAAATTGTATTTTAACAATTAATTCATGTAGATTAACGGAAGACTTGATATTGCTGCTCCTTATTTGTGGGCAGTTTAAATTGAATCATCGACAAGAACAATGAACAAGTTTATTTTAATGTCTTCCTGTTTATTTTAGGAGTTCGAATCCAGAAATAACTAAATTCATGAAAGACGAGAAATTCGGTGAGGATTATTACCAATTACATAGATATTACTTGGTGAAACTTATTGAGATTGTTAAGAACATGACGACGACAGACCCTGACTTACCGATCACTCCTATTGTCTACCAGGAGAGTTTTGCTGACGAATGTGGAGTAAGTTTTGGAAAATATTTTTGTAATTAAATCACTGAACTCGATATTCAGTGAGGATTCTCTGTATCCCACTGACACAACATTATCAGTCCTTTTATTTGATGATAAGGAGGATTGTTGTGATTCACTGATATATTTTGACGAATACTTCAATGATGGATCACTGCAAGCACTTATTTTCAAGTTATTTTAGTTCACGTCTAAAACATTTGTTCCATGTTGGCTGATTTGGTGTCTAGAGATAAAATAATCCATCTATCTCATCACCATCAGGCAAACAGATTTAGGTCGCTGAATGCCGCGTTCGGGTCTACTTCATGTATGGTGATAGGAGAATATTTTCTCCTATTACTTGTCCAGTGGAGTCTGTCATGCTGAATCTGGCTAAGCTTTTTCACTCTCACAACCCAGTCGACCTAAATACAACGGAATAATTCCTGTGCTCGATTGTGAAGTCATGTGGTTGTATTTGATCATTTGAGTTATTTCATGTGATCATTCAAATTGGACAGGACATAGGAATTCTCTATATCTCTGTGGTGAGTGTTTGTTGACAAACTGGATCTCGAACAGACATCTTGGCTTATGTCTTCGTTCCCAGTTCCAGTGGTTAACCTGTTGTTCAGTAGAGTGATCATACAACTAGTTGATGAGTCTTGAACAGAAAGAAACTTCTATCCACATTTTCACTTTTAACCAACATGAACAAATCATCTAAATATAAATAAATATTTCAAGTTTTGATCGCTACTCATCTTGAAGAGTTTACTAGATAATTAAACAACGGAGGTGATTTAATTTCATTCTTCGGTTGAATAAATCTAACGTGTTGCATATTTTGTCCATGTCAAAAGCCTGACAAGCCTCTGAAAAGAGGCATCAGAAAATTCGATATCTCAGGTAAAATGACTTTACACAGTCAACCTGTACAGGAAATATTTCATCGGTTCGATAATGTGGCATCCTCTATTTCCAGACTAATAATCAACCGATAATTCCTTTCAAATTAATCCAAATAGTTATATCAGTTTGACATTCATACCACTAACTTTACAAATGTTTCATTCGGTGAGGAGACATGTTAAGACATCCCGAAATTCTCAAAATATTCTGACGGAAAACGTTTTCTTGTTTCACATGACAACAGGTTGAATTCGTCTTGTTTAGTACATTTTATCACTACTCACGCGTTATACTTGTTTGAATCTCAGCTAAGTTGAAATGAATTATTCTCATGTATCGTTCGTTGGACACTTTGATACCTCGTGAGAAAAATAGTTGAAAATAAAATAATAAAGATATGTATAAAACGTACACTTTGTCTGTACAACTCTTGTCCAGTCATCTCTGAGTCATGATTAGTCATCAAAAACAATACTGTATGCATTGTGTATGGCACTTGACAGAATAAATCTCAAGGATTATTATTAGCCTATATATGTTATTATACATCGTAAACAGTGCATGGAGGGTTTTGTATCAGCCTTCAATAAAACTGTTTGAATTAAGGTCATGGTGAACTGGTGTTAAGCAAGGGAATATGAACCAAACAAAATGAGTGTGAATGTATGAATAATTGCAGATCATTTGTCAGTATATTTCAAATAAAATGAAACGGCGTTAATGTTGTTGGCAATTGTGAGTCAATAATGTTTCATTTGAGGTCTTCAGTTACTCATATTCCTAATGTAACCACCGACAGTTACAATAAAACGTCAATAAGATGTCACACTAGTTACTAGTGTCAAATCAGGCATAAACACATTTTATCTTATATGATACATACAA